CACGCCTCAGGAAGTTTGTGAAGGGCCTCGAGAAAGAATGAAGGTGCACTTACAAATTATGCAACTTACCTATAATGTTCCAGGGGGAAAAATACTGTTAAAAGAAATTAAATACTTTTGACAAGTAACTAGTTTGCAGTGGTATCTTTATTTGCTAAAAGCTGTTTCTTTATAAACACTGCCCTGCGGTTCAAGTGGTTAGCCACTTGAGAATTAAAAAAAAAAAGCTAGTAGCAAAACCCTACAGGGTTTTCCAACATTTAAGGATATTACAAGGTAAAATGAGAAGTTTGAAGTTTTAACTGACTCAGCTGTTTTTAATTCAGTTTTAAGTGGTCATCAACACTTCCTCTGTTGGATGGTAAATCTTAAATCTGGAAAACATTTGCTAGCGTTATTACTGAAGTAAAGTGATCTTCGCAGCTTCACACATAATCAGTCAATTTAATACATGAATCAGATGACACGTGATGCTGTCTTAATGGATTCCCCAATTCGAGTGATTTTGTGTCAGTCGTGTTCTGTGAAGTCACTGAGCACATAAAATGTGTGCATGGCGTCCTCTACTGATCAGACTTGATATGACAGTCTCAGAAAGTCTTTATTCATCCTAAATGAGTGTTTCTCAAACTTTTTGAATGAATTCCCCCCCCTTTGTCCAACACAATATAACATATTTCTTGTATTTCTACTGATTGATAAAAATATAGGCTATCTGTTGTGACAAAACTGCAAAATTGGGATTACTGATACATTCAATTAATTAACCACAATATAAGAAGTGTATCTTCTCCAATAAAACAATAGTTACTAACTAAGGGGGAAAAGATTAGATTTTTCTTGATTTTATGTGTTTTAGGATTGTTTTAATATATTAATAATTAATTTAAATGCTTTAAAATACTTCACATACTTAAAATAAGTCATCCTGTCCTAGATATTCTTACAGGTCTACAAGCTTGTCCTTTCTAAATGTACATTACATAATACAATAGTTCTTCTATTACAAGTAATACAAGATTGCTTATAAATGTTTGCTTATAATTTGAGTTCTTTTTAACAGTCTTAAACTGTTCTAGACCACTAAGCGTCCAAATACTTACAGTCTTATATTTTCATCATTTAAAACCTAACAGCTTTCTTTTTGTGAAACATTTTGCTTTTTCTCTGTGTCTTTAAAATAAACACCACTTAACTTGATATTTTATTTTAATGTGTTCACACACAAACATTTATATGTTTGACATAATTCTCCAGTAGTTTTTGGGCCAGAGCATCACTGTTCATTCACATTAGACCCCAAAAAAACAATTGAATTATCTTCAGAGAGTGGAGCACAAGATGTTTATATTACTAAAAAGCTGGGTTTGTGCACCATCTAGTGACAAGAGAGGATTCTACAAATGCTACAGTATCATTCGCAAACACAGCAAAAAGTGTATATTCATTTCAGAATGCTCAAGCCAACAATTAAAGAGTCACACCTTAAATTCATAATCAGTTATTCAGGATTAATTGTGTTTGTTGTAACACTGAAAATCATTCCATTTGGAACATAGTTACACTGCAATGTCATAACGTTGGAATACACATAAACAAATGCATATTTTCACACACCCTCCCCCGCCCAATTCACTCCTTAACTCTTTCTTTTTAGCAGGTGACAAAGGCGGCCACACCAGCCCATCCTGAGGTGTGACGGCCAACCCACCCACTGAGTTGAGAGTGGATACATCACCATCAGCTGTTAGACTTGTTTTACTCCTACAGTCAGCTGAGCACAGATGCATGATACTGGTATGTGTCGAGAGAATGTTGTGCTTAGGCTTTAGTACTGACAATAAATATGAAGCCAACTCTATAGGCAGCTTTCATGGCAAAACACTCAACACCTTCAATCGGAATCTGAAGCATCATCATACTTATCAAATATTACAGATGATTCACAGATAGCTCATGGCTTGTTTATTTCCTGAGAAAAAAAAAGGTAGTGTCTCAATTCGTATCTGCTCCTGAGGTAGTTCCTTAGAATACAGAAAGTGATACTGATCTTCAGATTTCTGGGAAGGAGTTAGAAAGCTCCCTCAGTCTGTGAGTGGTCTCGGTGGATGAGAGGTTGTTTAACTCTCGCACATATGCGAGCAGGTTACCCACAATAAGCCGAAGACAGTCCCGAAGTTCCCTCAAGTCTCTGTCCGAGCGAGAACCGCCTTCTGCAATAGCCATTCTCAAGCATATGTTCTTCAAGTCAACACCGTGCTGAAAGAGAGGACACAAACGTGAATAATTAAAAAAGAGCTTATAAATATAAATCACAAGCAAACAAGGGCAGGTAAGTTTAGCATCCACATGCAGAACCGGTCAGATGTTGACTGAATATTTATCATTTTAATATGTGACCCTGGACCACAAAACCAGTCATAAGCAGCATGGGTATATTTGTAGCAATAGCTAACAATTCATTGTATGGGTCAAAATTATCGATTTTTCTTTTATGCCAAAAATCATTAGGATATTAAGTAAAGATCATGTAAATATACCAAAACGTAATTTTTGATTGGTAATATGCATTGCTAAGAACTTCATTTGGACAAATTTAAAGGGGATTTTCTCGATATTTAGATTTTTTCTTATTTATTCAGCTTTCAGATGATGTATAAATCTCAATTTTAAAAACATTGACCCTTACGACTGGTTTGGTGGTCCAGGGTCACATTTATTAGTGTTATTTTGTGTGTGTATATGGATATATGGCTATAGAGATGGCTGAATTAAACTGGTTAGTAAACAGACAGCACACATGGGAACTCTTGTTTACAAAGCATCCCATGATGCACCTGCAGAGCAGGAATCTAGACAAAAGAAAATATTTTTCATTTGACATAATCTGATTCCCATACTCCCGTCTGAGTTATTCGATAGTTTAAATAGCTGTTACTATTAGACTAAAATGCTTTTTTATAAAATACAAACCCTACATGGTAGGCTATGTCGTGACATTTTGAGTCGTTACAGCACAAACTTTACAGTCTAGACTCTTATCAAAAGCATCTTACCTTATGCTTGAGCAAACTCCTTCCGTAACAGACGTCTTTTATAAAATCTTCCTCTATAGATATGAGTTGCGTGAGTATCTCGAGCAGACGCGCGAGGCAGCTCTCTCTCGCTCTCTCCGCGATAGTCTTCAGTCTGCGGGGCACCTTCATCAAATCACCTGGACACTGACCCTCGCCATCTCTATTGCTGGTCGTCGCGTGAGCTCGCAGGTCATTTAGGATGTTTAAGGCATCGATTTGATGTGTTAAAGAGCAGAGCCCCATGTCTGCCACCTGATCGGCTGTCTTGTGCAGAGTCACTGTTGAGAGAGACAGGCCTACGAGGCTCTGGTCGAAACAGCGTGACAAACGACCGGTTTTAAATGTTTTTGCTGTGGCATACTGTTTCTCCAACGACTTCCTCATTGTTTGTGTTTGGAGTGGATGAGCGCTTGCTTACACATGCAAATGTGACCTGATAGTCCTGCCCTCTATCGAGATGCTCAGAAAAAGCGGTTAACTGAAGGTACAGGGATGTTGTAAAACGTTTTGTTCTGAATTAACTCAAAAAACAGAAACAGTTAGCATTTTAAACCCTTAATTTATTATTTACCCTATCTCAGTCAAACCAGGCTGGTTTAAGAGTAGTTTTTCTTCCGAACAGCACATTTGGTGAATGTATTAATGATGTCATGGCTCTTGATACTGCTATTATTTTGTATTTTTTTGCTATTCTGCAAAAACAAAATAACAGAACAATGATAAAAAAAAGAACAAAAACAGATGACCTCATGCAACCAATGTCACATTGTTTGCATGATTCCTGAGAAGAGGTCACAGCTGACACTGTCTTAACAGGCAGTGCTGGCATTTCGCAACACAAATACTCAAATCTGAGATTTTAACAGAAATGAAAGTAGCCAACAGCATTTCTTTGATGGAAAGTGTCAAAAGGTCTCACACATGCACACACACATTGGGTTTCCATGTTTTATGGGGACTTTCTATAGGCGTAATGGTTTTTATACTGTACAAACTTCTATCACACTACACCAACCCTACTCCTTACAGGAAACTTTGTGCATTTTTAGATTTTCCAGAAACTCCATTGTGTATGATTTATAAGCTTGTTTCCTCATGGGGACCAAAAAATGTAACATGTTTGGATTTTGGATATTGCCATCTTTGTGGGGACATTTTGTCCCCATAATGTAGGGTTTAGCAGGACCACACACACACTTACTCTTTATTACTACTATCCACATTTCAGAAGTCATCAAAAAGTTAGTTTTTCTGAAAAAATTCAGGCATTTAAGCATAAGCCCACAGATCAAGTTTCATAAGAAGTAAATACAAAACATTTGACTGTTGGTTGTTAGTTTATATACTTATCTAACAACCTATTCCAGTTATTAATAAGTGGATCTTTTTTTTCTCAGTTCTATTAATTACAAGGTGTTATCAGTTAATACATCTTTCATTAGATTCATATATAAAATGCCCATTCCTATAGACTACCTGGTTATTCATCGAATGAAATTAAACAACTCCAGTTTCAATCATACACTGAATGCTTTAATTGATCTGAAATAAGATACAAAAAACGTTGTGATTTTAACAGACTAAATTTCTAGTTCTACTCGACCTCCGTTCACATACAGCTTTTTTGAGGAGGGACTTATCTAACAACCTATTCCAGTTATTAATAAGTGGATCTTTTTCTTTAAAAGTTCTATTAATTACAAGGTGTTATCAGTTAATACATCTTTCATTAGATTCATATATAAAATGCCCATTCCTATAGACTACCTGGTTATTCATCGAATGAAATTAAACAACTCCAGTTTCAATCATACACTGAATGCTTTAATTGATCTGAAATAAGATACAAAAAACGTTGTGATTTTAACAGACTAAATTTCTAGTTCTACTCGACCTCCGTTCACATACAGCTTTTTTGAGGAGGGATTTGAAAGCAAGTCAGAAACACTCAATAATATTTAGCATCTGTTCCAAAGCCCACCACTTAGTCTGTGCTCTAATAACTCAATCTTGTCAGTCCTATACTTCAGTTTACAGTAGCAACATTTATTACAAGATCAGGTATCACTCATAACATAATTCAAGCCTCAGATCAGGTATCACTCATAACAGCATCAGAGTACTACAGTAGCACTGATCTTGGCTCAGAGTCCTACCCTGTTTGTAGTGGTCTTATCTACAATCCCAGATCAGCAAGCGTACTCTGAAACGTCACCCATACATTACATGGATTATTTTTCTTTCAGCAGTATCATCTCATAAAAATAAAAACGTTGCTATGGGAATCACTGCTTTTTGTGAAATTAATAAATTCAGTCTCTCAGAAATAACTTGTGAAAATAAAAATATATTAAACTCATTATTCCTTCAAACCAGGTTATGGTAAAAAGTAAACCTTGTACAATAATATTTTAGTTTAATGAATTAGGTCTTTGACCTAAATTACAAACCTCACACCTGCTACACTCGTTTCATGCAGATCTTCCAAACCCACGTCACTGCATCTGAAGCTCTTTTAGACGAACACTATCTGTGATCTACACATGATTTGAGGGTCAGCAAACCTGCACAATATATGAGAATCACAACCACACTGGACTGTCCAAGCGCACACCAAACAAAGCTGCACTGATCTGTTCCGTTAAGGCTTGCACGATTGGTTTCCTGTTTAGCCATGAAAAAGTACCAAGTTGCACATTGAAAACAATGGGTGACAAAAAGAGAGACAAATTTAAATGAAGTGTAAAACCATAAAGGTACTGCGAATTCAGGTGGATTTGAGTCAAGAAGAAACTTCTAGAGTTTATTTACAAACCATTAGTGTCATTAGTTAACACTCTTTTTTTTTTTATTGATAGAACTCATTTTCTTCTTGGTCATTCAGCTACTCGCACACTCTCACTCTTCATCCCCTGTATTTCCTAAGTTACACATGGCTAGAGAGATTGGGCAACTGAATCATGGTCCATGGGCCTTCAATTTTTTGACAAAACTGCTCACTAACTAAAGAGATGCTCTAGGTGAATTGGAGTACATTGGTAGAAAACATTTATCGCTTATTCAGCATAGCCAGTAATACAATGGTGACGCAGTGGGTTAAGACACCATTGTGAAAAGGTCTCAAAAAATGGGAGTACAGAAGTCACAGAAAACATGCTTTTCCTTGCTCAGTCCATATCTATTACCATCAAGTTGGTCACATTGAACAGTTTTCGCCAAAGTCACTCCAGCTGCGACAGACCAAAGATCTACAACAGTTCATTTGTTGGGTAGGGGCCGTGTGGTGACCATCATTGCTGATTGGCTGGGCTGTTTGTCTTCCTCAAACGCAGCACGCTCTGCCGACCCATGACGTGAAATTCTGATCGCAGAAAATCAGTCCGAGTGACTCCGTGTGGTTTTGGGTGAAGATCCAAAGAGGAACGTTGTGAAGAAACAACTACTGAAATTGTAGATGCAGTGAAGGAAGTGTTACAAAGCACTTCTGGAGATGATAAATATTAATGGAGAACTATGACAAGAAGTGGGCTTGTTTGGGGGAAAGGGCGGGTCTTATCGTATTAAAGGGCGGGGCTAAACAGGAGGGACAAGTCACTGATAGGGTGATTAGTACCAGCAGTTGGTCTCTCTGGTTCATCTCATCTTTCTCCGCCGGAGAAGACGAGCGTTTCGTCATCGATCCGCAGCTGACGAGTGTTTCTCCTCTATTTCCCATTTAGTTGGTTCATAAAAATGATCATAATGTTTATAGACTAGCGTATTAAGTTAAATCTACAGTTATATCCCTATATACCTCCCAATGCTGAGATTTTATTATTTAATTCGTTTTTTTTTATTACTTTTTTTTTTTTTTAAAAAGAAGGATGACTGCACACAGGGCAGCTCTGTGCCTGAGGCTGGACTGCAGGGTGAGCGTTACAGTGGCCACACGGTGAAAATGTTTAGTTCTCCTTCTTGGCCTCCGTGTTGCCGTAGCTGGATCCTGTCTTCTTCACTTCGGTTACACCGATGAGCCGACGAACTGCTACAGAAGCTGCAGAAAGAGAAACGGTGACATTTTTTTTTGTAAAAAGAAGGGTAACTGCACACAGGGCAGCTTTGAGCCTGAGGCTGGACTGCAGGGTGAGCAATACAGTGGCCACACGGTGTTGACACGCTAACAATGTTTAGTTCTCCTTCTTGGCCTCTGTGTTGCCATAGCTGGATCCTGTCTTCTTCACTTCGGTTACACCGATGAGCCGACGGACTGCTACAGAAGCTGCAGAAAGAGAAACAGTGACAAGGAAGTCACATCAGTTGCGGGATAATGATATATTATTACTCATTAACTGATGCCATGACATATAAACATTTGTGCAGGAATTTATCAAATCTGAGAATTTAGAGTTTTAATCTCATGCTCTTCTGAATAGGGTATATTCACCTCTTGCACTTAACAAATGCAGTTTACTTTACTATTTAATGTGTGCCAAAACATGAAAGTAATTAAATAGTAAAGCTATTTACTAGTTAAAGGTATTTCTTTAAATAGTAAATAGCTTTTAGTTCGTGCCATAGTCAAACATGGCAAAACCATCCAATCAATGAATGGTTAGGAGATAAGGTAAATAAAAAAATAAACATAATAATCGTACAATCATCAAAACAACTAAGGACACACAGATGAATCTCAATTATTGTTAGACAAAAGCAAACAATATGTATAATTTAGAGGAAAGGGACAATTTAGAGAATAATTTATTATTTTTATTTTTTTATGCATTACTTCAAACTAGTGATGCACGTTCATTTTGGCAACAACAAAAATCATGGTTTCAGCCAGCAGTTTTCAGAGGGCTAAAACTATTGCCCAAAAACATCACTTAGATCTTCTCCAATGGCATGTTTTGTTTTATGCATACAACATGGATAACATGGATAAGTGGATGCACTTTACCATGAACAAAAATTATGCTAAAGCAATACGAAAAAAATTTGTTTGCATGAAATACTGAATATATAATACAACTGGTTTACTTTATCACCTGAGAATACAACACTCTGAACAGCAGACAGAGTTCAATTACCTAAATTTAATTACCCAAACTCAAATTTTCAGTTTTTTTCGTTTTCAGCTCATTTAGAAAAAAAAGATTGTAAACTTTAAATGTGTATTTGTGCTAAAAGCTAATTTTGTCATTTTAAAATGTACACAACCACACAGATCTCTATGCTAACAGATATGGATAAATAGCCCTTGTAATCTACATGAATAAGCTACAAAAACTTGAGAAAACCACTATGAGAGCACATGAATAAAACAATGACTGACCAACAATGAGGAAGATCATAAAGCCAATGATGAGGAGGGGAGAACCGCTGACAAAGACATCCCAGGCAAAGTTAATAAGCGGAGAAAGCAGGAGAGTAGCCCAAAACAGGAAGTTCAGAAGTGTCCAAACTCGACGTTTGGTTTTGATGGTGGGGCCGGGGAAACAGCCTTCCTTCTCATAGTGTTCTTGTAACGCATCCTTGAAAGACAGAGACGTGGGATGAATTGCAGCACACATCATTGCAATGAATCAGATGCAAAATCAAACAATAACAATTCAACTCAAAAAACACAGTTCAAATAAAGCCTGAGCTTCATACCTTCTCTTGGTAGAGCTTGTGTAACCAGTCAGCACACTCCTTCTCATCATCAGGAATCTCCTCCACAGGAAAGCGCCTGCGGACAGAACAGTGAGAGGTCAGAGCAGCACATGACACACTCCAATAGAGGGCGCTGTAACAGCATGCAGCAGAAGAGGTGCTAAACTAGGTACAGTTACAATCTTAATCCAAATATTTAAGGAGATCTCAGGTCAGCAATAAGACACAAAACACTCAAAAGCTTGTGAATGAGAACTTGGACACTCACAAGTTCACAATTCAAATCTTGTGTCAGATTTTGGAAGTACAGCAGCTAATGAAAATATAGTGAACCTCAGCTCTGTGACTCACCTGATGCTCAGGTCTGCTTTGTATTTCTTCCCATTAACGATGCCCAGCAGGGTCGGGTTCTGCTTGTCTTTGAAGTTCAGCGTGACATCGTACACAGCTTTCACTGTTGAAACAGAACAAATACATTTTGATGTTATGGAATGAAATGTTTGAATGTTGCAACAAATACAGTGTATAGAACTTAGATGGATAGTTCACCCAAAAATGAAACTTCTGTCTTCGTTTACTCATACTGATGTCATTCATCCTCGTGCTTTTGTTTATGCAATGGAAGTCAATTGCTCAAGCTACCAAGATTCTTCAGAATATCTGTATTTACGTTCCAAAGAAGAAAGTCATACGGGTTTAACTTCACGAGGGTGAGTAAATGATGACAGAACTTTCATTTTTGGGTGAACTATCCTTTTTTCATTTTCAGTCTTTCCCTCACACAAAGCCATCAGATAAATTCAAAATACAGTAAATATTTGATAAATATAATATATAATAAAGTGAATGAGTCGCATGGACCACTTTTGCAGAGCTTTTGCATCCTTTCTGAAGCTTGAAAACTTCAGTCCCTATTCACAATAATGGAATGGATAAATGGGACCAATATATTCTTGAAAAAATCTTATGTGTTCCAAAGAAGAAATTAAGTCAGCCAAACAAAGTTTGGAATGACATTATAGCAAGCAAATAATGACAATTTGTTTTTGGGCCAACTCCTAAAGTAAATAATGTTTCTAATGTAATTAAAGATTCAGAGCACCAGATATAATTCATGTCAGGATAAGAGGGGAAGAAGCTCAATAGCGTATGAATTGAGCATAATTGGCATGAAAATCAGGATGATGGAAAGCAGATGAAACACATTCATGATGGCCCATCAAATCAAGTTCACGAGTCCATTTCAGTCACCTCATTAGAGGAAAGAACAATCCTGAAACAAGCAATCTGCAAGTGATGTCCTATAAAACTAATTACTGTTTAGTTTACACACTCCAAAATAATATCGGACCACAATGGCTTGTTTTATTTACACAACGTTCAAAAGTTTGGGGTAAGTCAAATCATAAATTTATATTATTTTTCAGCATCTAATTGATCAAAAGTGATGGTAAAGATTTAGAATGGTACAAAGAATCGGTTTAAATAAGCTTGACAAAGTATCACAAAAACAGTAACATAAGTGTTTTTAAAACCGATAATATTAAGAAATGTTTCTTAAGCAAAGGAACATGTGACACTGAAGACTGGAGTAAAGATGCTGAAAATTCAGCATCGCCATCTCAAGAATAAATCGCATTTTAAAATATATTAATTATAATATATTATATTAATATTGAAAATAACTATTTTAAATTGTAATATTATTTCACTATATTACTGTATTGTAATTTTGATGAAATAAATGCAGTCTTGGTAATCATAAGAGACGTATTTAAAAAAAAAATCTAACCTACCCCAAACTTCTGAATGGTAGTATACGTAAAACATAGTCTAAACTCACAGCCTATATTTAGACAGCAGGTGACAGACGGAAGAGTCTCTCGACCACCGAGGTGGTAAATGTGTTGGGATTTTCTTATGGCAACGTGTCTAGAGTATTCTGGGAACATGCGAACTCTAGGAAGAACATTAGTTATCACCATAACCACTAGCAGCATCATGTTGTGGATAACTGCACTCTGTCTAGGGTCACTGATAAGTGGACACTTGGACATTATTATTAGACACCAGGCTGGTGGAAATCCAAAAAAGCATCATGAATAGGGCCAGCTTATGGGTTTGGACCACTCACATTTTCTTGACTCCTGTCCATCACCCACCCAGGAAGCAACGTTTGCCTCTTTTAACAGGGTAACACACAGCAGCTCTGTGACGGTGATGGAGTGTGTGGAAACGTTTATCTGACCTGTTCCCTTGAGGCATTGCAGTGTAGTGGTGAATCCTTTGGTGCGGGGCAGCAGGTGGTACTTCAGTTTTGGAAGGCCCTTACTCTCAGCCACCTGCATGCTTATCTGATGTTTCTTTTCCGTAAATCTCGTTCCTTCACAGTACAGCAGGAACTGCCACACACACACACACACACACACACCAGAGGATTGTAACTCCCGGGTCAGTGTTAAACACAGTAATCCTATCACTTTGTAATCTCTGCCTCTTGTTGCCAACGGAAACTTCCAATCGGAGCACGTCATAAGTGACCTCACCGCTGGAGCTACGTGCCTGTCTAGTAACACTGACCCACATCCAAATAATATAATGATAGAATAAATAAACTCAATAAACTAAACAAGAATGACCACAACACTTTACTAGATTAACACCAGGTGAAACTTGATTGTTTACTTATTTATCTACAGCTTCAATACATTAAAATGATTAGCAAATAATAATAATAAAAAAAAAAGAATTAAGACATGACTTTGATTATCACATTCCTCAGTAAATATATGTTACTACAGGTTATAGTGGTACGAGGTCACAAATTATTAATTCAGAATGTCTTTACAATCTTTAAAATTATTTTTTTATTGTGAATTTGAGTACGAGGAAAAATTTACTTATATATATATATATATATACATATATTAATTTATTTATTATATATTTTTTGCAGTCTTTGTGTCTTGGTTAAATGCGTCAAAGCACCTTTACTTAGCTTGGTTTGCCATTTGTGTGCATATGTTGCTCAAAAGTAAGAAAAGTGACACCAAGCTCCAAATGCAAATTGAGTTTGAATAGTTTTATTAGGGACTGCAATATTACATACTTTCAAACTGTAAAAAAGGATAATCCGCCAAAAACTACAATAGAAAACATTTATCCCAATTGCACATAAAGGGAAAAAGACTGAACTACTGGTTAACCAAAATCTGCCTATTACGAATTGAATAGTTCTGAACCATTACAGAACATTTGCATGGGTTTAGAGATTTACAAGGTGGATTTGAGGTTGTGGTTAGCCCTACATTTGACCGCAACAATTCATCAAATACTCAGTACATATCACCATGGTAAACAGAAAAGGCTTAAGTCATTCCTAAAGCTCTGCTTGATTATCAGGTCATTAGATCATCCTAATCACTCAGTGTACTCACCCACATGTATTCTGGGTAATCTCGGAGACGGTTCAGCCCACTGAAGACGGTTTCTCTGTCCTCCTCCCACTTCCGCTTGCAGAAAACAATTTCCAGGAAGTACCACGTCCAGCCGATCAGAGGAACTTTCAGCAGTTCGTGTTTAGCCAGAACCTTAGAACTCTGGATGAGAAAAATCAAAATAAAGAGAGGATAGAAAATGCAAAAAAGAGAGAGAGGATAGAGAAGAATTCAAATCATCCACTCAATCAAAACAAATAAATCCAACATCAGAACTTATCCAAGAGAGAAAAGACAAATTAATCTCTTGGGATTGATCCTCATGGTTACTAAGATTATTAAATACAAAACAAAAATGGATGGTGACAAAGCAGTTTTTGTTACGGTTAACTATAACTATTGAAAATCATTTTATTTTATTTAAATAAAATCTAAACAAAGTAGAAATGTTACCTTGAAAACTAAGTGTAAAAATTAGTTATTTACTTGAATTTGTTATTTATTTGAAAAACAAATAAAGTACATTGAATTACTAAAATTATTAAACCTGAAATAAAAGCTAAATAGAAATATGATAAAAAAGTACATCAATTTACTACAACTAAAATGAAAAGAAACACACAAAAAAATACAAATAAAGCTAATTAAAAATGTTAATAAATAGATATAAAAAATATAAATAATTAAAATAAATAACACTGCAAAAAGCATAATCTGGCCAATACAGGTGTCTATACAAGAGATGTCTGATTTTGTATATAACGGAATTTCAGCCAAAATGTAATTATAAAACACTGATGCACTGCGATATCCAATACTAGTTTCACACAGTTTTATTTACTGAAAAGTACAGATGGCAAACATCTCCATATATTTAAATAGCATAATTTCACCCAGTATCCACGTGCGACATGATTTTTGTTCTTCAGAAGAGTATCTTAGCCACTTTCTAATATCCGTCGAGTGCAGAATGCTTTTTGCATCATGTGCACAATTTTCTCTTAAGGAAGCTACATCAAAGAAGCTAGTCACATTTATCAGCTTCCATTTTAGTTTGGATGCTTTTAATGTACTCAAGTCGAGAGTGATTGAGCTCACAAGGTTTTGAGACACAACTGTCACGCCTCAAAGCTCAAAACAACCATCCTTCACAACTTCACACTTCACTACGGTGTCTTCACTGCTTGTCTTCCGTCTCTCACCCCCAGTACGCCGTATCTCTCACACATGGTCCAGCCACACAGGAAGTCGATCTCATAGTTATGGTTGAGGATGATGATGACGTGCTCTTTACCGAACTTATCCACCGTGGCCTGATCGGTGTACAGCGTGCACTCTGTGCCAGACCACCATTCTAACAGCATCACCAGCTCTGTTAAGAAAGCAGTAGAAAAGTGTGTCAAGCAGGTATTATGATGCCAGATGCGTTAGGATGATCTATATCGTGACAAGCGCCATGCAAATTGTTGAATCAATTGCTTCTGCTTATTTAACGCATCTGCTAAACGAATAAAAGTAAATGTAGAGGTGCATCTCAATAAATTAGAATGTCGTGGAAAAGTTCATTTATTTCAGTAATTCAACTCAAATTGTGAAACTCGTGTATTAAATAAATTCAATGCACACAGACTGAAGTAGTTTAAGTCTTTGGTTCTTTTAATTGTGATGATTTTGGCTCACATTTAACAAAAACCCACCAATTCACTATCTCAACAAATTAGAATACTTCATAAGACCAATAAAAAAAACATTTTTAGTGAATTGTTGGCCTTCTGGAAAGTGTGTTCATTTATTGTGTAGCATCTGGACCAATCAGACACACCATTTTTCATTAGATTAACAAATAGTCACAGACCCCTCACCCAATAACCTACTGGGTGCCAATAAATTTGAATTGGATGCTTTAAATTGCTTAACACAGAAAAAGTTGAGTGTCATCCTCAGCATGTCAATTAAATTTCTCTAATTTTTTAATACGGGCTGGCAATTATAGAAAACATGGGACGCCTAAAGAAAAGTTTAAATCACTAATTTGTGTGGTTTTATTTTCTAGCAATAATCATTTTATAAAATTTTCTTATTAAACAAAAATAAATGCACAGGAATAGAAAAAATCACATAATAGAAAAAGAGGAAAGTTTAAAAAGACTATGTAAATTTTATGTTAGATAATAGTCGATCACTTGATCTGACACCAGAAAGCATGAAATTTGTATGCATTATGCATATGTAACATGGCAAGACTAGTCTGTGCATGTGACGTTTAGTACAAACCCCATGTCTCATAAATTTTGCATTACAACAATAATGGCTTCTTGTCCAGTAACCTGCAATGCACAACATTAAGATACTTTACATAATACTTAAGTTATATAACAAATGTTTAAAGACATTTAATGATATCCATTCACAAATGCTTTATATATATTACAATAATAGTTACCTATCTTTGGAATAAATTCACTTAAAAGTAAACATTCATTAACAAGGTAAACAAAAAGTACTTGCTATACAGGTCTATAAAAGCATATTCAGAAACTTGATAGTGAGCTGAGGACAAACAAACGACTCACGGCTCCATAGCGAGTAGGAGAGTCTGGTGTTGATCTTGCGGTACAGCTGTTTGTTGATGGGCCACAGCACACAGGTACACAGCTGGATGAAGTTGATAATGAGGCCGCTCACCACGAACACAAAGCCAATCAAGAGCTGCAGGACGAACAGGCTCTTCAGCCACGCCACCACACCCATGACTGAGAGCCCTTCCACACACACACACACACACACACACTCACTCACTCACTCACTCACTCACTCACTCACCCACACACACAAACTGCTGGAAGACAAGAGAGGCAGAGGAGACGCCAAATTAAAAGCAGCCTACAGGCTGACTCATGCATATGATATTATGCTTTATTTACATTACACTAGAGGTCCTTCAAACCCATGGGGGATAGAAAGACCTCCTATTACATAATGTATAAAACTGAGTGGGAGTGAGTACGATATTAATGTACTGACAACTTTGTTAAGATGCATGTATGGCAAAGCCATTGAAATAAATCTGTACAAAGCTAAATTTTTTTTTTTTTTACATTTTTGCAATTGTTTTTTTTTCACAGAAATTACATGGACTGATCAGACAACTATTACAAATGTATATACAATAGTGCTCTAATTTGATTGGACAAGAAGATTTTGCATATAACAGCATTAAAACTAGTGTTAAAAAAACTAAAAAATATCACCAAAACAATAAACCTTTCTTACGAGCTACAGTATGAAACCTGAAACTTTATCTATCTATCTATCTATCCATATATATGCGCACAACTATTATATTAGTTTATTAAAAATAAGCCAACTGTTAGCAAATTAGTGTTATGTACACAAAAGTAAATTTTAGTCATATTTGGAAGTTGCTAACTGCTAATTTAGGACACTGACAGAAATATTTCTGTTTTGTTAGTCCAACTGTCTGCGCTATTATAGACTTTCAAAGCAAAAATATGCAACCAAATTATTTAGTTGACAAAGCAAAAATAAACAACACTGGTCATTGTGTCAGTTATGCAAAATATATTAACATATAAACGCAATATCAAGCTTGAATTCACTCTATGAATATCTGCAAATCAGTGTTGATCGACATTATTAGTAGCATTTGCATTATGGAATTATGGAATTTGTACCAGTCAATCCTGTAGCCCTCTGATGTTCATGTTTAATGTTCCAACATATCATTTCAGTTATCAAACTTAATATCATGAAAGTTTAACTCACCACAGCGGGTTCGTCTCTACAACCCTCTTTTACACGGCCCTTCACTTAGTACCACCGACCTGAGAGAAAAAGAGACAGAGCGCATTTAGAGAATTCATGACGGCCCGAGCCATAAACGCAACCGTCACCAGCAACACATTTAGTCATGTATTTTTACTTCCACATCTTGTTCCAAGATACACAAATCCACTGTAAAGTAGTCACGAGTTCATGACCCTTAGGCACCAAAAATTCCACATGCACCAGCACTGCACACACATATACAGCTGCACTACACACATGCCGTGCACAAACACACACCCTCTCACCCAGTTGGAGGAACTCCAAACACCTCCTCCAATTTCCCTCTCTCTCTTGCATGCATTGACTGCCTCATTTTCGCAACCCCTTTCCCCCCAACTGCATTTCTCGCTCCATTATTATATGGCAGCACCTCAACATGACTTGTCATGCACAAAAATCCTACTCTGAAAGACACAGTATCACACAAACACTCTCATTGGATCTGAAGGTCTCTCGTTTCAAATTGATTTTGAAAGCTTATCAGGCTTTAATCTCCCAGCACCACTTAATCCGATAACAAGACAACAACTGCAAGTGAAAGTCTGGATTAAAACTCTTAACAAAATGAGTGCTTCAGCAAATTTATTTGCCAAATAATCTTTTAAAGCACTGCTAAACCAAATGCAAAGAGAGGACTGAAGCTCAGTGCTTCCTTGCGGTTTAATCTGATACTCAGGATGAAGTTGCCAAACTACTCCAACTCGCCATCTGGTAACCTGCAGGAGGCCCGTCTGACCCCATTAATACTATAATGTTCTCAGTTATTATGTGTCGGCTCTGATGACAAAGTTCAGTTCAGTCAACCATCCTACTACACTGATATCATTTAAACATTCGTTCTGCCGACAGAACGAATTTGTGTGTGTAAAATCACTATTGTGAGTGCAGAGTAGGCATGGGCCGATTACCGGTTTCAAGGTATACCGCGATTTGAAAATTTCACGGTTTCAAAACCGCTAATATTTTCCGTTATACCGTTCCTGCGGTATGCACTGTTTTTCATGTCTCCTCAAAGCCTGAAAGTGTAGGGATCCCTCAGGTTGAGTGCAGTGTAGAGAGTAACACGACCCTCCTCCTCCTGTTGGTGCGAGCGAGCGGTCAGTCACGTGCGTGTAGGATGGCTTCCCCTGGAACTTAGGTGTTTATATGAATGTGTTTCTGAGAGGAACTGTCTTTAGAAAAGTTTACGTGGTATTTTCTTTTAATCTCGTCTCTGTATAGTTTATATTAAAGCAGTGTTTCAGGCTGCTCTGCTTTGTTTGCAGCGGTAACCAAGGAAACACTGTATCTGGTGTTCCATCAGCGCCTCCTGCTGACAGAGAGTGAATCTGCGTCTCATTCAGAGCATCTGCTGTTTGCTTCATTCAGGCATGTAGTATAATTTCACAAAGCTAGTCAGAACATTCTGTTTTTGCTTCAAATTGGGTTATTATTAATTCACATTATGTATATGAAATTATATAACTAAATTATATGTATAGGAATTATAGAACTAAAATTAAATAACTGTAATTACAGATTTAGGTTAAATAAAGAAAAAATAAACAAATTCTACTGTTCCTAATATTCTGTATGTTGCTCAATTGCTTAAGGTTATCACACCATCAAAATCTCATACCGGCCCATGCCTAGTGGGGAGCTAACAAAAGTTTATGGTGGATTAGGAAAGTCTTAAAATCTAATTTGAATGACGCCTTACAATGATAAACAATTGAACTCAATCTGAAGATGTAAAAACAAGCATCAGATGACAGAAGCAAAAACATCTTATATTAGCAAGTAAAATACTGGAAAAGTGGTTATTTATTTATAACCTACCTCTGCCTTGATGCACATACTCCACGAAGCATGATAAACCAAATTAACTGCAAATGCTTTCACATTGTTCTCTCACCTACAGAAAAATGAAACGGACCACAGTATCACGTCAACAAGTTTTGCACAGGCAAGCAACACTCACAATTTCTTAAGAAAATGTAATAATCCAGCTATTCTAACTACTGTAATACTTCTAAGCCGTCAGCTAGTCAATGATTCCTGTGAATTAGCATTTATCATAAGAGCAAATGTGCCAAATGTGCTGCCTTTTGAAATAAACACAAAACAATCGTGTTACAACATGGGGGCAGCTAGAAACCAGTGAGTAAAAGTTTAAACCGACAAAGTTTTGGTTCCTCTACCAACACATCAGCCAAGACAAACAGAACACAAACGGCACTAACCTTAGATGAAGATCCACAGGCAGTGTATAAGTTAACTATGACTTTGGAGTGGACAGAGACGGACCGAAGAAAGAAAAATGAGAGAGGGTGGGAAAGGAAAGAGTTGAACTCTGTCCTCCTATCCACCACTGCACAAACTGAAGTAAACTTTGGAACCTTACCAAAGTGTGTGTGTGTCTGAGATCAAGGGAATGGCAGAGTGCTCTGAATGCCAAAACTCCCTATGAAAATTGGTGTGCTGCACTAGGTGTGTGAGGGGGAGTGTGTATGCACATTCTGAGGGATCACCTGATCAACTTGTTGGAGCAGAGTATTTTCTCAGCCATAAGAAATATGAGCAAAAAGTAGACTTATACACTAGGCTTGCCGCGATAGATGGGGTTGACGGTGATACCGGTGTTAAGTCGCAACACCGGTTACATCACTTGCCCACCGCGGCACCGACCCCCACCGTCATTTTTATTTTTTTGTAGTAGCCTAATAAAAATCATTTAGTTCAGTAAAAGAACAGACACTACAATTAAAAACTGAACGCGGCTGCTCAATGCAGCGTGCCAAACGACTTCCAGCAATTGATGCCGAACTGATGCCGAAAGTAAAATGTGCACGGCGCTTTTAAGCTTAAAAACAAACAATTGCTTTACGCCGAATTGCTGCTATTTGAAAGTGAAAGTAAAATGTGCACGCCTCTTTTACAAGCTATTTAAAAGCGAAGGAAAGCGAGAAAAAGAGGGAACGCTCCCGCCCCCGCGGTGATACCGGTATTACCGGTGTTGTCACACATCGATTAACCGGTGGGAAAATTTCCTCACCATCACAACCCTATGATACACTTCAAACATTTCGCTTTCTCCACCAAATCATGTGCACTACAGACCCCTAGTGGTCCACCAATATATAGCCAATGTTGATATTTCAGCTCTTTTTAAATGATTGGCTTCTGCAGATAAGTTTTCCAGTTTGCCCGATGTGTTTGTGGGAGTGGGACTTTAATTGTGACAGCGCTGAGAATGTCAGCACTCGAGCACACAAAACTCCCATTCTCTGTCTTTATTAGTTTATTGCCTCTGTTTAAATTAATAAATGATTATACAGAACTGATAAACAGGGAAAGTAAACAGTGTACTAGGGATGTAACGATGCACCCTGAGTAGACTTGTGCCGGTATTCGGTAATGCGATATATCACTTCTAAATACCGTGAATAATTATATATTACAAATTATTTCGAATTTTGAATGCATTTTAAGAATACTTTTCCCATCAACTGGTCAAAATGCACAACACCGCTGTATGCTGCGTGAAAGACGCGTGCGCACTCTGATGTAAATAAGCGCGGACGAGAAGCACATGGCGGAACATGTGAGAGACGCTCTGGATGAAAGCGCACTTTCACTCTCTGACAGCAGATGGCGCTAAACTGCAGAAATAATAATAATAATAATAATTCATTTAAATGCAGCCGTTACCCCGGAAACCCTGTAAACAAAGCAGCTGCACTACTTCCTGTTTCTGAATCATGTTTAAATTATGTAAATAGCCATTCAGATTTGTGTATTTGCTATGAAGTCAACAATACTACAGCGAGAATATAAGTTACGCCTTCTTTCTTTGCGTGAACGTTTGGGCGGCGTTATGCAAATCTTCCGAGATCGTGACGTAGGTATGTGGGGGTGTGTTAGAACGAGCCGTTTTAGGTAGGCGCGGTTGACTGTTAACTTTTATAAAGAATATCTCTTTGGATTTGAGACTTTAGTCTTTGCAACTTTACAGATCTTCTTTATGCACCAAGAGCTTGTAACACTCCAAAGAGAAAGGAAAAATTGAAATCGCATCATATGACCCCTTTAAAGCAGTGTTCATAACCACAGTGCTTCTTTGATTAAAGCGGCAACCAAGGAAACGCGATATTGCCGCTGTTCAATAAGCACTACCTGCTGTCAGACAGTGAATTTGTGTTCTCATTCAGCTCATCTGCTGTTTTTGTTTTGTGCAGATTAGTTTTGTGAAACTATATTCAGGGCCGCCGCAATGGTTTCTGAGCCCCTGAACATCATTGAATCTGCCCCCCCCCCCCTGGTAAAAAAAAACGCGTCCCGGGCCCCCTCTCCCTCGCCGGGCCCTTGGAATTGTCCAAACCTTCCCCTCCATTACGGTGCCCCTGACTATACTACATAAAACATAAGTCAGAGCATTCTGTTTTTGCTTCAAATTTTGAAATTGTGCAATGTAATTTAGATTGAAAACTGTTAATTCTTGTGATTAAATGGAAAGAGCACAGGCAAAACCTTAGTTTATTTATATGAAGGGATTTCTTTTCTTGTGTTTATTTATTTGATTTGGGGTTTGTTTTAAAATTTCAATTTAGTTTTTATTTGACATAGCCTATTTCAATTTCACAAAGAAATGTGCAGCATTTTATTTTTCAATAATAAAAGGACCCCTTTTTATTAATAATTTGTCTTAAATCTCATTTTGTTGTGAAATCAGTATTGTGAATCATATCGCATTGTAGGTGTGGGCGGTATAGCTACCTGTAGACACGATTAACTGGCATAAATTTGTCGGTAGAGATTTTGGACTAACGTCTCTATCACGGTTACATGATGTCGCTGTGCTACATGGTCACAATAATGTATTCTTTGCATGCATTTTTAATGCATTGCGATTTAAAACTGAGTGATTTTAAGCCGTTGAAAAGCAATCAGCAGCGAAAGAGAACTCATTTCGTTATATGCACACGCTGTATGAGAAACTGTTTCTGAGTGCCGTTAGAGAGACGTGTGCATGTGAAGATGGTGCTCGTAGAGCACAGAAGTACTGAACTGAGTTATTTTTACGGCTTTATAAGCCATGAACTGTTAAATATACACACTTGTATGTGTCAAAATGCTGGTATTTGCAAGTATCCTCATTAACACAGTAACTTAGGTCTTAAGTGAAAGCAAACAGCTGAGAAAGAAAACATGTGTAACAGTTTATTGGAAGGTAGCTCTTAAAGTGACAGCAGTCTAATATTCCTGCTGTCTGTCATTCAATTGAATCAAACAACAAAAGAGAGAAAACCTCTCAGTGCTCGACTAAATCACATTTGTGACTTTAATAAGAAGAAATATATATTTAATTTACACAGTGATAAATATGCAGTTTTTATGATTACTTTATGCAATGTATGTAGCATTTCTTATTTATTTGTTCTACTGTAGTTTTTTGTCCTATTGCTTGTATTAGCTTCTTATTCTTATTTAATCGCTGATTGTTTACTTGTCTTCAGTGAGATTGAGTTTTTTTTAAATTATTAATTTAGGCTAGTATTAGTTTTTTTGAGATATTGACACTGGTGACAAGAATTGTGAAACTTCTATGGTATCAGAAATTTTGATATCATAAAGACCATATTTAAAGCACAAATTACTAGCCTATATTGTGATATATATTTTGTTACCGTGAAATAAAATTACTAATGTGACATATTGCGTCATATTGCCCACCCCTATTGCATCGTGAGTTGAGTGAATAGTTACATCCCTAGAGTGTACAATAATATGATATAATCTATATTTAGTAACAGAAAGGCAAACGCTTCACTACTTTTTCATCTACCGTCAGCAATCAGGAAATTCACATTTATATCATCAATTTGTCAAATTCAGCTGTGAGATCTTGTGTTCATTTGTAGCCTGCATAAAAACGAGTGTGCATCACAGTCTGCATGACTGACAAACTTTGAATTAGGGCGGTGCGATTTCCACCACTGGATACCTTCCTTGGGCCAAGTGTGTGGACCTTACAACTGTGTGCTGTATGTGAAATTAGCTCTAGCTTGTCTTTATTTGAAAAAATGATTCCCAGCATGTTAACTGCCTTTTTGTATTCATTCATATTTTTAACACTTTCTTGTGAAACTAATATAACTGATCGATTACAAAATCAATAAACTGCCAACTAAATTAAATAAAGAGTTAATTTGTTGCCATTTTTCAAACAATGAAATTGAAGGAGGGGAAAGAAACATAGAAGAAAAAAAAAAACATAGATCACCATAAACATGGTCCATAAAACTTGTGCAACTTGTTCTTCTCAGTCATATGTCTAGAGCATTATGTTTGATCAAGTATGTGAATGTCCAGTTTCACATACAGAGGTAGCAAATGGTGTCAAAAAGCTCAAAGGTGTATCAAAAGGTGTATCAATTAAGATGATTAATGCAATATGCCAAAAACACCCTAGATACATGTAAGTTTATATCTGTTTGACTTGTTCCTCATTCACTTTTTGGTAGCATGACAACTACACCGATAGGGTGGGGGGATTAGACATGGAGGGATCAACCAGCTTAAGGCCGGGACACACCAAGCCGACTTCAAAGAACTAGCGGCGACGAAAGCCGACGGTGTTGTCGCCTCGCGGCGGACCAAAAAGCTGCGCTCGAACACACCGCACAGACTACAGCCGATGGCAAACTAACACGTGCGTAAACTAACACGTGCGGCCGACCGTTGGCTTGGTGTGTCCCGGCCTTTAAGGCATCAGTTTGCGTCGGGGCCGTCAGCGCGAGTGAGAGCTCTGATTGGATGTTCAGTTTAACGAACGAGTCCGTGCCCGAGAATTAAAGCGAAAGTGATGAAAACAAGCACGTAAATGAAGGCGGTACAGACAGAAGGCTGTTTAAATGTTACGTGATCTTTCCCAATCATTCTAATAGGCCTACGCAAATGTTTTCATAACAACATAAGCCGCTTAAAATGATTAAAGTTATCAACGTTACTGATATTCAAAACAGTATCGGTATCGGTGCATCCCTAGTTACTGATATTCAAAATGGTAAGCCAGCGCTGCTTTGTTTACGTTTCGTATATCTGCATTTATCTCGTATATCTTTGTTTCGGTTTCTCCTTTTGAATGACGAATATATAGCCTACTATTGATAGCTGCTGATATAAAGACAGTTTACGCACAGAACGCACGTGTTAGTTTGCCGTCGGCTGTAGTCTGTGCAGTGTGTTCGAGCGCAGCTTTTTGGTCCGACGCTGCCGACGTGAGGCGACAACACCGTCGGCTTTCGTCGCCTCTAGTTCTTTGAAGTCGGCTGGGTGTGTCCCGGCCTTTAGGAGTTAACAGCTGTCTAGCCTGCATCATCAGACAGCCTGGGGCCATCTTTTTCCAAGATGGACAAAATGTACCTCTAAAAAAGGTAAAAAAAAAGCTTCAAACTTGCAGGATGCAAAAGAAAACTGAGAAACCACAGTGTAACAATACCTAAAAAAAAATACACAAAGGAGTGTTACACAATACACAGTGTTACACAATACACAAGTTAAGTTGTGCTTCAGATGGTAACACTTCCACAGCAGATCAATTTTCAGATAGACTTCAGCTAACAATTTGGTATCAGCTTGTTTGACTCTCTGTGAAGCTTTAAAGGGAAGAATATACAGGCAAAAAAAACTGAGACACTGTGTGACCTTTCAGACGTTATAGAGACAACTGTGCAACAGGTGGTCACCATAGTGCCCTAAACACCCACAAACATGGCAGGCATGCAAATAACTACAAATGAACAAATTAAAGTCTTACACCGTGTCCTAACTACACACGATGCGATGCCGCGACACGCGATAAAAGGTATCTTTTCCATGTTTGGTGAGGTTTTGTCCTAACTAGCCTTAGAAACGGTTTCTATTTCCGCGACGTTGCGGCTGGAACAACATACAAACTATATAACAGTGATATGCAGGTACTGATTATGTGCGCTATTCAATGTTAACGTGTCTAATGTGAGTTTGAATATCATTTTGTGTGACCGTTATAGCCATACTGAAAGCAACAATAGATAGTTTACCTCAAATCTTGAAAATAAATTAAAGCAAAGATGTAGCCTACGTTAAAACTGTGAACTCACTGCGAACCAACGAGTGTATTCCATGACAAAGATGGTATCAGTCACTCAGTATGTACATTTAATGATGTTAAAAAGTTTTAATATTTATGAATTAGATTATAAACTTATTCATTTCGTTGCGAGTGCAGTGCGCTTCCACAGAGAGCCCGCCCACACACGCTTCGGATTGGCTGTGATATTTGATTGATTCTGTCGCATTGCATCTGGTGTGGACACCCAAATTGCTTGTTGCTGGAATCTTGTCGCGCCGTGTGTAGTTAGGACACGGTGTTAGGCAAGGAGTATCTCATTTGACCTTTGCCTGTGTCAAATCCAATAACCTTTACATAAGCAGCAGGCGGCCCAATCAATCTACTGTTGCACTTTAGCCGGACTCACCAGTAGGCGTAGTAGGCCACTGCCATGACCACTAACGCCCCACAGATCCCTGTGAAGATCATCACAGCCCCCTGGTTCAGCATCTTCACTTCTGGTGATGGGCCTTCAAAGCAGAACAATTATGAAATTAGCCTCCTCTGGTTTCGTTCAAAAATGGACAGGCAGTTCTGTTCTTGACAAGCTTGGAGACAGATGAAATTTAAATGCAGAAAGTGCTCCTGAAAATACTTGGCAAAGAAAGCCTTTTAAAAAGTTGAACGAGGCACTAGGTCTCGCTTTGGCTACAGCGACATGCTAATGCTAATTCCACAGAAGGAGAGCACTTTTATGATGATGCAAGCAGAAACAAAACTAGATCCCATAAAGGCGGCGTCACTCAAAACCAGTGGACGTAAAAAAGGACAGTCTTCCAAAGCTGAACTCCAACTGGATGCTGTTACCAACTGCTATCCCAAATTCCAAGCACAGTTCGAGTTAGCGAATCCTTAGCAAGATGCAGCAGTCCAACAGCACAATGTGGACATAGCAGCAACCTTCCGTTAAGCCAGAGAGAGCAGTTCTCAGCATCCTGTGTTCCCTCCTCTTCTCTAATCTCCTCTGGATTAGATTACCAGTGATTAGCACTCTGGAGCAGCACCCTGGATAAGTCACATCGAATTTACATCAACTTCAAGCGATTGAGCTAAGTGGGACGGGACAGTGGTGACTTCCTTTAGCCACCAGGAGGAGCCTTTAGGGTCAAGCCCACTCTCTAGCATTTAAATTATCTTGTACAAGGAGGCATGATATGTTTCGGTAGTGATTCTGGAGACTTGTGAGTGCTGTAGCATGCTTGACAAGCTTCTACATGGCCTTGCTGTAGATCTGTGAACTTCTTCTTGGCATTCAAGGTCGACAAGGGCCTAAGTCCAGTTTAGATGAGGTGGTGACAGAGAAGATGAGGCAGGTTGTGGCTCAAAGCCATGAATGCACAACTGCATTACTGGCATAAACGGAGAACACAATGTGCCACAGGCCTACGTCACACAACAGTGCTTCCTTTTTTATTTGTTCTGCTTCTGTTGCTCACTTCATCTCATTATTTCTTCTAGCTTCTTTTCATCTTTCATCATTCGTTTGTCATAACTTTGTGTGATGTGAGACTTTTTGTTGCTGTACTGTATCAATGGGAAAACCTTTGCAGAGAGTCCATGTATTCTTGAATGTGCAATGTCCTGTGTACAGCTGTGCTAATGTGCCTTCTTCAACACTTTGTAAAGCCATCTCCCGATAAGGTGTGTAGCATAAAACCTATACATTATGAGCCATATGAGACCAAAGCAGCTTACTGGACTGCAGCTGAGGTCAATGTCTAAATCTATAATCTAATCAGTATCTTACACATACAAACAAACAAACACTTCTAAGTATTCTTAAACAGCCGTTTAAACAAACTAGGATATTATCATTACAAATTTCATCCATAAAAAAATGTTCCTTCATCTCTGCATTTCCCCAAACTTTAAGATAAATATTCTTCTGTACATACATTTATATCCTTTGAACAGCATTTTTTTTCTTTGCAAGAGCTCCCCCTTGATACTGACTCTAATAAATACATCATGGAAAATGTCAGTTATCTTTGCTACTGTGTCTCAGAAAATTCTACACACTTCAAGTCTCATCAAAAATGCATACAAAAGATGAACATTAACAACAAACAGGGCTTGTGCTTTGGTTAAGTCTCTAGCTTTGACAGACTGAATGAACATCATTACAAGGGACTCAGTGGTCAATAATTCTCAGTGGGCCAGTGCACAGTGTGTTTTCAGTCCTAGTACACCAGGGGTCTCACACATAGGCTAAACCTTGTACAAGTACAAAAACATATGCCAAATAGCACCCACACATTGGCATTTATAAACAGACAAACAAACCTGTTACCGGACCATGCATATGCTCACTTTGGCAACCAATTTTCCAGCTACAGAGCCTAACTACTGAACTGAAATGAATGCTGCAAAATGTGCTTTCAATGAATTCCAAATCCATGCTAGAAAGTGACATTTAATTTCTAGATAAGTTTCCATCCTACCACCAAAATACAGTGTCTGCATTCTTTGGGAAGTCATCCTTTGATTGGCTTAAAAAGTAAAAAAACAAAAAAAACAAACCTGTGCACTTAACATCTGAATATTAATTAATGAATTACAAATCCCATAATGCACTGTGAACAACAATAGTCAGTCCTGATGATAAACTAGATTCAAAAAAAAATAATAAAGTAAAAAAATCACATGGATGGACTTGCACCTTCTACAAAAGCATACATTCTACAGTCTTGTAGCATCTGGACTAGGGCTGGGCAAAAAAAAAATTTGATTTTTCGATTAATCGTTTTTTAAAATGACGTCGATTCGATATTGATTCTTAAAAGCCGCGAATCTATCTTTTCCGGGATTTATTTCAGCACACATTGCTCACTCTAGCCGCCGGCCTCTGCTCACTCTAGGCTGCCGTGTGTGAAGCTGTGTTTCGTTGTGATAACGAAACTACTTTGTTTGGCCTTCCAAAAGAGGACGCGACTAGAAAGAATCGAGAGCTTGCGAATCGAAATCGAATCGAATCGGCACATCTGAATCGATACCCAGCCCTAATCTGGACCAATCAGACACGCAATTATTTGTTATACTTAATAGGGCTGTGCGATATGACGATATGTATCGTATGGACGAAATAAAAAGTCTGTCGTTTCATATTATGCTCTATCGTTTATTTCATGGTGTCGCAAAATACATTGTTTAAGGTAATACTTTTTCATCATTTGGATGACTGCGATCTTTACACGCCACCACGGGGCGTGAAGCGGAGACAGAACCAGGTGGAGAACGACCAGCCAGGACAAAACGAGGAGCTCGTTCCTAAACGAGGGACTATATCTGTAGCATGGACACACGTTTTGAAGCACTGCGGTTTTAAAACAACCGATTTTTAAGCCTTTGAAACACAAACAGCAGAGCAATATGCGTGCGCGGTCTCTGCTTCTGTGTGAGAGGAGCGCACATTTTTTTGCCGCCTTATTGGCTTTGAACGATTACATAAACACTTACAGTGGGTACGGAAAGTATTCAGACCCCCTTAAATCTTCACTCGTCTCTCATCACCTTTCCGTCTTCTGGTTGCTAAGTCCCAGAGCCGGCGCAGCCACACCTGGCAGACCTCGACACAGCCAGTGTGCAGTTCTGTTAGATTCAGAGAAGATGAGGATGTGAGCTAGAACTCTTCTGGGACCCTTAGGTTTGCGCCAGGCTTCGGCCTTGCCTTTCCATTCAACAAAGACCCTCGGATCTCAGCTGATGTTTCTCTTAGCTCTTCGTCACTTTCCACCTGGGAAGAAACTCCCAATCACCATCGAGTCACAACATCTTTGGAGTTCATCACTCTTCAAACCCGGAAGAACGTGATCGCAAGTCCAAAACCTTGAAACCATCAAGACTTTCATCCGAGACTGCATCTGGACATTCGTCAACGACCAAGGCAATGCAAGTATCATATATTTAACTAAACGAAACAGAGGTTTAGTATAAGCT